TTCTGGAGGCGGGTGTGATAACTGGTTGGCGGATTTCATACCATTAACAGGCATTGCTCTTTGGTTCGATATGTATTGGTTGTTTCCATTTCTCCGTAGAATTAAACGTATAGATTTCTCAAGTAAATTTGAAGATAAAGATAGTGTTTCTTCTTTTCAGATCCTTCGTCTTTGCAATCTGCTTCCAGAGGGGTCACTCTTCCAAGTACTGACCAATTTTAACATTTCTTAACTTCAGTTATCAGACGATTATCAGTGTTTTCATGTTACTTATTTGTCTGTCACAATAGGGCAGGTTGACTTTTTTTTTTTTCATTTTTTTTTTTTAAATTTTCATTTTTTAAAATTTTAAAAAATTCTTTTTTTTAGAAAATCAACATTTCACACTGTGTGAAATCTGGGGTTTCATGTGATAAGTACTGACATCAAAAATTAGATTCAGAATTTTTACCAATTTTTGAGCATTGTTTTAAAGATCGTCTGAAAGATTGTGTAGAAATACTTAATTTTTACATGTTTTTATTTACTAATTTAAAAATGCTAATATTTAAAGAATAGTTACAAATAAAGTTGATATTTTTTGTATTAGATCCATTGAATTAAAATATATATTCAAATCAGAATTCTAATATTGAATCACCACAAGCAAAACATGTCATATTTTATTGTATTCGATAAGTAAAAAATGTAAAGGATTACGAGAAAGGCTACTCAATGAATAAGATTTATTCGATTATAATATAACCAAAAATATAGATAAAAGTGTATATAACACTATAATACGACTGGCCACACACGAGAAGACAATGTTTTAAATTTTTATTTTTTTATTGAAAATCACACTAAAACTACTGTACTGTATGTATAACATATAATATAGCGAAATTGTTTCGTATAATTTCCCTTTGAAGTAAATGAAGGTCTTATTTGATGGTACAATGATTTAATGATAAGCTTGTTTCGTGCATCTTGTCCATATACAATCTGTAATGCTTCAGTGAATTATACATTTTATAAGGCTGTGCTCTAATGCTTTCACTGATCAACGGAATGAAATTCCAACGCTACGATTTTGAATCCAAACTTTGTTTAAATTCGTCTCCCCAAAAAACGGTAACGATTTGAGAAAAATATTTTGTCGCTATTTATCATCTCAAAACCCTGCAATACCACACGGTTCCAACATAGAATGCCATACTGTCACAATGCCACAAGCTGTTTCCATTCATACTGTTACGATGTAGTTACTCATCTAAGTATTGACCGATTTCTATCTTGCTTCAGTGATCACACAAGAACTTGGTAGTTATTTTCCAAGCGTAGCTTGATGCAACTAAAGGGCGAAAGTAAGTAAGGATCGAACTCACTACTTAGTCGTAATCGTTCTAGCGAGGCAGGCTTGCTAACCATTACACTACCTGGAGTTGCCCAAACGCAAGACTTGGTATCTTCCTGATGTCAGTTTAAACAGACGGTTCCTTTTTCTCCTAATATTTTGAATATTTTGCTTAAAGTTCGTCTCTTCTTGATTTTAGATGGAAACCTGGACATTTTCCAATTTATTCATTACAGTGAAATTTTTCACTTTCCCAAATGTTTTAGATATATGAAAAAAAGATAGTGTAAGTTTAAACTGATGCCAGGATGATTTTTTTTTTTTTTTTAATTAACGCCTACTTCCCCCACCCCAATATATTGAATATATGTACCTCTACTTTCTTCGCTCAAAAGAGCGTATCATGATGACAAAGGACCCAAACTTGATTAAAACAGTTTTATCGTCAAACTGTTTATTATTGAAACGAAAAACCAAAATATTTTTTATTTTAAAAATTTTAACCCTTTCTCGTACGTTCGAAATTTTGATTAAAAAAACTTTTTTCTCCTCCTTTTTTCTCCTCCTTTTTTCTCCTCCTTTTTTCTCCTCCTTTTTTCTGCCATCAACGATAAGCCAAAGATTATTATGGGAATTTTATCTTCTCTTTTGTGGGTAAAAACACTTTGTTTTGGAAATTCTTGCAAAAATCAAATAATTTCGGGACTTATTCACAAATGAATGAATTTTTTTTTTTTTTTAAGAAAATCATAGTAAAAATTTATTTTCTTTATACATCCGTTACTCCACATATTCAAATTTCAGCCTAAAAGCAGAACTTCTTAGAGAATTTATATCCTTAGTTTGTTTTGTTCAAACAGAAACACAATTTACCGAAAGTATGCTCCGAATTGCAAAATAAAAAAAAAATGCAATAAACTATCTAATTACTTAATTAGAAAAGCTTTTAAGAACACTATTGTCTTAAGAAAAAAATTTTCGATAAATAATGAATTTTATAAGAATTATTTTCATTTTTTTTTTTTTTTTTAAAACAAAATTTATAAATGATTATAATTAAACTAAAGTTTTAAATCTTTAAATTCTGTATTAATATCTGCCTTTTAGATTATATTTTAAGTGTAAAATATACTTACTAATCATAAATAGAAAAGGCTTAATACCAGTCAACATACATTAAGATTTTTAAAAGAATTTTGAAGTTTTTGGAGGCACTTGGACGTGATGTAATGGTTCGCAACCTTGTCTCGCTATATCAATCACGACTAAATAGTTCGATCCTCACTGGGTGCTGCCATACATCGGGCCTTGTGCCACAATTAAGCTACGCTTAGAAATCACTATATATTTCATTTTGTTCATACATGAAAATGCATTTTCCAACGTATTTGATAAATTTTCACTTTTCAAAAAGCATAGTTTAGTTTAGATATATGGAAAAAAAGAAGTCAGCAGTTTTAAAGTGGCATATGTGATACACGTTTAGACGATCATGTATCGAAAGATACATGACTGACGAGGCAGATTTTTTCCCGCAGTATGTTGCCATTTCTTTGTGGCAAACCAGTTGCTATCCAAGGCTATAGAACCCAGTCTGTCCTATTTACCCATAGCTGGGGGAGAAGAGAATTCATATCTTTCCCAAGGTTATTAACACGTAAGTGAATGTAATGGATTTGACTGGAATTCCTCTGTCCAAGCCGCTATTCATTACAACACCGTGCCTGTATTTTGTTGATTTTTAGATGAAAACCTGGAATCATTTTTCCATTTATTTCAGTGAAATTTTCACATTTCAGAATTCTAGTTTACTAGGTAGACCCGTGAAAATTTTACGGTTTTCCTATTTTCTGATGAATCTTTATTCTGACGTTAATGATTGAATAAACTCATGTCGGCTTCTATGACGGTAAAATATCCGTAGAAATTGCACAATGGCATCGTTAAAATATTTGTGCTTAAAAACTTTAACAAAATATTGCAGTAACATGCAGGGGTTTATTTTAAAAAATGGGTACAAATGAAAAAAAATTGAAATTGACTTTTTCTATTTCACTGAAACAGCTGTTGAATACTTTTCTTGCTTTCACACACACACACACATATATATATATTAGTTTTAAGTGCACGTAATGGCCCCTTTTGTGTTCTGGAGTTTTAATTTTGTGATAAAATTGCTAATATGTTTTTTTTTTTATTTTATATATATATATATATATATACAGACACACAGTTGATAATATCTAGTTATTTGATTTACACACGCATATATATATATATATATATATATATATACACGTCGTTTTTCTACACTCAAAATGAAATAGTCCATTATTTATGAGGTATTGGCAGGAGACGTTAAACACTATTTTCCCTTTCTTCTTCAAATCCCCATCTTACGAAAAATTTTCTTAATTTAAAAATAATTCAGCAGGCTGATAAATTTTGTTCAATACAGTGCAACTGAAAAAAAAATGGGCTTTTCTTTAGGTTGCCAACGTTCTCTGCCTTTTGGCCAGGGACGGTAGTAATTAATATTAGGCCAAGTCACATAGGTCTCTCCCCCCCCCCAAGGCAGTGCCTCTACTTCGTGTTGATTGCCTGGCGCCTGAGGCACCCCCCAGAAGGAGAAGTGCCGAGGGGGCTCCGGCAATTTTTCTGCAATATTCCCGACCTTGACCTTGTTATTTTCGGTGCGACGTGGGCGCTCTTGTAAATACAATCACTTCTCGGGCTTTTGGCTGAGATCAAAGTGTAGTATCTGTTTGTATCAGCTTAATCTGATTCTCTCTCTCTCTCTCTACTTCTGTCTTCCCTTCTTTTTCTCACTGAATCCAAGTAATGTCTTTTATCCTCTTTGTCCGTGATCAAAACGCGGATTAGTCTATTATTTATGAGGTATTGACAGGGCGTAACGGTCGTGCTAACTAACGAAGAGATGAACAAGCACAATTATAACAGGATAATTACTTTAGATATATAAGGGTGGAGGTGTCAGTTTAAAGTGACGCCAGGAGGATATATCAGTGGAGTCTTCGGTTTTGCTCAGAATTTTAGGTGTCGGTAATTTCTGAATGGTTCATTGTAATAGCATATCCTCTTGTTACAAAGGAAGGAATATTTACAGTGATTAGCCTCTGTTGCTTGGCCTTGAACTTGGTAATGATGACATTAAAGAAAACATCTTGGCTTCTAACAAATGTTTAATGTGCATATTTAAATTTAAAACAAACATGACATGAACCAACAAACAAACAGTCTTGGAAACTGCTTTGTGGGTATTTTGGACCAACAACTCGGAACGAAAAGTCAGCCATTAAGGAAAAAAATACCTCAATAAGAAAAAAGCAACTTTCTCTCTTTCTTTTTTGTTTTTGTCATTCATTCATTTTTCTCTCTTTTTCGCTCCTGTTTTTTTCTTCTATAAAAGGTCTAAGAATTTCAACATGGCCGCTTCTCGTCCTCCATCTTATTTTATATATTTCGTTTTAGTTCTTTCTCTCTTTGAAATGTTACTGACAAAGTGTCTGGGTCATGGCTGACTAATGCTGACATCTCCGAGCTTCAATTTGTGTTGACGAAGCATCCACCTGAACGCGAAGAAGCTGCAGATCTCAGAGATTTACAAAAAGCTGCTTGCCTCTCCTGATGTCAGTTCCCATCAATGCAGCCATCTTTGACTCCCTTCCCAACTCTCTCGTTTTCTACTGTTTTACATTTCCCCCCTCTCCTTACTACCTTTATTCTCTCTACCTTTCTCATTCACTCTCTCTTGAGTATTACCGTTTCTTTCATCCCTTTTTCTGTTTTCTTTTTTTTTCTCTTACATTTCCTGTTCTTTCATATAGTCTGTATATCTCGAATTTTTTCTCTGATTGATTGCATTCTACTGGTTTTTTTTTTTTATATATTTCTCTATTTATTCACTTACCCACTTCAATTATTTCTTCTCTTTTTTTATCCCTTTCTCCTTTCCTCTTTTTGTCTTTGTATTTTGCTTTTTCTACACTTGCTCTTCTGTTATCAAATTTTTATTGATACTTGCATTCTCTCTTTCTCATTCACACATCAGTTTTTCCATCTCCATATACACATACTCTCTTTTCAACTTTCATTTCTCTTGTTCACTCACTGTTTTGTCATCCACCTCTTTCTTTATATTTGTTTATGTCCTCTTCTCATCTATCTTTACGTAGGGCTTCTGGTCTCTCGTTCTTAGAGATCAGTTGACATAAGAAAGACTTCTCTTTTCGTCTTTCCTTCTCTCGACTGAAGTCTTATTCCGTCTTCGTCTTTCTTGACTTTTCTTCTATTACTTACTCTCGTCGCTTTCCTATGCTTTAAAAAAAATAAGTGAATATGTGTCACCAATCAAGCGTCCTTAAACAGTTTTTTTGCCTCTTGGCATGCATTCTTGTGCTCTTACCATTTAGCTGCATCAGCAAATACTGTTTTTGTTTGTTGTGATGCAATGTTTTTTTTTTTTTTTTTTTTTTAACATGAACCTGCCTACTCTGTTTATTTTCTTCTATCATGTCACGGTGTACCTTTGTCTTGTCTTGACTTCTCTCCTTGCCTAGTCTTTTTCTGTCTCTCCACATTTGAACTATTTTCAACAATCAAATCTAATCTCACTTTCTCTCTCGTTCTTTCGTTTTCTCTCTCTCTCTCGTTTTTTCGTTTTCTCTCTCTCTCTCGTTTTTTCGTTTTCTCTCTCTCTCTCGTTTTTTCGTTTTCTCTCTCTCTCTCGTTCTTTCGTTTTCTCTCTCTCTCGTTCTTTCGTTTTTCTCTCTCGTTCTTTCGTTTTCTCTCTCGTTCTTTCGTTTTTTCTCTCTCTCGTTCTTTCGTTTTTCTCTCTCGTTCTTTCGTTTTCTCTCTCGTTCTTTCGTTTTCTCTCTCGTTCTTTCGTTTTCTCTCTCTCGTTCTTTCTGTTTTTCTCTCTCTCGTTCTTTCTGTTTTCTCTCTCTCGTTCTTTCATTTTCTCTCTCTCGTTCTTTTCGTTTTCTCTCTCTCATTCTTTCTTTTTTCTCTCTCTCATTCTTTCATTTTCTCTCTCATTCTTTTCGTTTTCTCTCTCTCATTCTTTCGTTTTTCTCTCTCGTTCTTTGTTTTTCTCTCTCGTTCTTTCGTTTTTCTCTCTCGTTCTTTCGTTTTCTCTCTCTCGTTCTTTCGTTTTCTCTCTCTCTCTCGTTCTTTCGTTTTCTCTCTCTCGTTCTTTCGTTTTCTCTCTCTCGTTCTTTCGTTTTCTCTCTCTCGTTCTTTCGTTTTCTCTCTCTCGTTCTTTCGTTTTCTCTCTCTCGTTCTTTCGTTTTCTCTCTCTCGTTCTTTCGTTTTCTCTCTACTACAACCTGCCGCAGCCTTTGTAGCGCAACACTTTTTCAGTGCACTTGCACCCATACCAGTTTCGGCAAAAGAAACCTGTCTCTCCTCTCTAGTTTCCCTACCCCACCACCTACGTACTTCACGGTTGCAATCTTTTCCCATTGTATGCCTTTGCATGTGTGTGTTTATTTTAAAATGGGAAGAAAATCCTTGTACTTCTCGTCAGTGTTTTTTATCGAACTAAAATATACGCTATTCCTTGTTGCCCATTTCTCTCAGGTTGCATTTTTTTATCTCTCTTTTCTCCCTCTCCTGTCGACCTCTCTTTCATTTTTGTCTGTCTCTCTCTCTCCTGTCGACCTCTCTCTCCTGTCGACCTCTCTCTCCTGTCGACCTCTCTCTCCTGTCGACCTCTCTCTCCTGTCGACCTCTCTCTCCTGTCGACCTCTCTCTCCTGTCTCCCTCTCTCTCCTGTCGACCTCTCTCTCCTGTCTCCCTCTCCTGTCCGACCTCTCTGTCTCCCTCTCCTGTCCGACCTCTCTGTCTCCCTCTCCTGTCCGACCTCTCTGTCTCCCTCTCCTGTCCGACCTCTCTGTCTCCCTCTCCTGTCCGACCTCTCTGTTCGACTTTCTCTCTTTCTTCTGTCTTTTCCTGTCGACCGATCTTTTTTTGTCTGTTTTTCTTGTTTTTTTTTCTGCTTTGTTTGGTTTTTGTTTTTTGTTTGTTTTTATGTTTTTTCTGTTGTTTTTTCGTTTCTTTTTTGTTTTTGTTTTTTTTTTGTTTTTTCGTTTCTTTTTTGTTTTTTGTTTGTTTTTTCGTTTTGTTTTTGTTTGTTTTTTCGTTTTGTTTTTTCGTTTTGTTTTTGTTTGTTTTTTCGTTTTGTTTTTGTTTGTTTTTTCGTTTTGTTTTTGTTTGTTTTTTCGTTTTGTTTTTGCTTCTCTCTGGTCGATCTCTGTTATTTTTTCTCTCTCTCGTTTCAAAATTCCTTCGTTCTTCTACTTTTCAGTTTCCCTTTTTCATTCTTTCTATCCTGAAACATTCACAACCACTTATCATGTAAAAAAAAAATTCTTTATTTTTATGATTCTTTTGTCTTGACACGTTCGTTCTTCGATTCTTCATGTCTGTTCTACATCACAAATCTTTTTCTGTTTCGATTATAATTCATCTATTCTACCCCTCTCTCGCAGGCTCCCGAAGTGTATGCTTGCCTCCTATTTCCTATTTTCGTTCTCTGACTTTCTCGATCTCTATATACCGATATCGAATATCTTCGTATTGATGGAAATATGCTGTCTGTGTAAATCTTAAGCATAGAAATTCTGGTGGTATTAAAATAAAATAAACTTTGCATTTGGATCCAGTATACCTAGTCAAGATTTCTATTTTCTTATTCTTGCTCACTGTCTTTTCTTTTACTCATGTACTTAGTCTGTCATTTTCTGCTATAACGAACTAAATATTTTGTGTTTTCGATGTGAAATTTTACAATGAAACGCTAAATTTTACAGTTGTTGACTTAAGATTTTAGCAAGTTTCGTTACTAAATCTGTATGGTTTGCAAATGGAAACCAAATGAAAGGCATTGTCAGTAGTCGGTCATGAATGTAAGCATTACTGAGAGAACATGGCTATTATATGTATAGCAATGTATTGCTAATGATTTTACTATAGGAATGCATTGAAAATGAGGAAGAAAGGGATTGTCAGTGGTCAGGAATGAATGCAAACATTACTGATAGAACATGGCTATTATATGTATAGCAATGTATTGCTAATGATTTTACTATAGGAATGCATTGAAAATGAGGAAGAAAGGGATTGTCAGTGGTCAGGAATTAATACAAGCATTACTGATAGAATAGGGCTATTATATGTATAATGTAAATGCATTGCTAATGATTTTACTACAGGGATGCATTGAAAATGAAGAAATGGATTGTCACTGGTCAGGAATGAATGCAAGCATTATTGATAGAATAGGGCTATTATATGTATAATGCAAATGCATTGCTAATGATTTTACTACAGGAATGCATTGAAAATCAGGAAGAAAGGGATTGTCAGTGGTCAGGAATGAATGCAAGCATTACTGATAGAATAGGGATATTATATGTATCATGGAAATGCATTGCTAATGATTTTACTATAGGAATGCATTGAAAATCACGAAGGGATTGTCAGTGGTCAGGGATCAATGCAAATAAAATCCGGAAAAAGGGTTGTCAATCGTCAGCACCATTATAAAATGTTGTTGAAATGTTTCCGTCTCACAAAGACATGATTTTAAAAAATATCTGTTTATTCAGATTTAAGGAAGTGGGTCGAGTCAAGAACTTTTCAACACCTCTTGTACATATGATAAATATGAAAGTAATTAATGATATTTTGTGTGCACTCCCATAAAGGAAGGTAAATTATCCTCTCGGAATATATCTTTGTTCATCAGTGGACAGTGTTGATCGGAAACAAGGAATAGTTCCAAGCGCTTTTGCCTGGTTCCTTATGTCTATGGACTGATAATCTAAGTGATTACCATGGAAAATAGTTGTGGAAAGTGAATGAGACTTGCCGAAATCAATTTCTGATTCTGTTCACTTTGCAATAACGCCGTTAGAAAAGGCATGAATCCATCTTGCTCTACCTATAGATTAAATAGTATTGTAGAGTGGGACTCGATGCGCTTCCTTATAAATATGGTAATTAATTACATTAGAGGAGGATTTGATTTACTTGGGTACCTTCATGAGATCGCTAAAAACAGAGCATAGCTTGACGAAAAAGACGCTAAACTTGACGAAAACAAAATTTTAGCGTCTAAATGTTTGTTATTATGAAGAGGAAAGACCAAAGTATTTTTTAATTATTTTTTAAAATTTTTAAAAATTTTTTCCTTCTTTTTAGAACATTCTAAATTTTTTATTAAAAAAAAAAACAAAAAAATTTTAGCGCGTTTTTTTTTCTGTATGACAGACATTTGACTTTGAAAATCTTGCAAAAATAATTGTCGGATTTTAATGAAACTTTCAGAAACTATTCAGAAATGATGGAACTTATTATAAATGTTTTCCTTTTTTTAAAAGTCATGGCAAAAATATTTTTTTCATATATATTACCAACCCCCCTCCCCAACTAATTGTACGAAAACATCTATAATTTCAATTTTGGGAAGATTAGTGATTATATTTGAGGAAACCAAATCATGTTTTTTTTTTTTTTTTTTTTAGTTGGACCCCCTCTACCTGAAAATCGTCTCTGCATTGTAACATACAAAACTCAATAAAACAAAAATATTATTTATTTTCAAAAGCTTTTAATTGCTTTTATTTTAATGAACATGGACAATATTGTCTAAAAGCAAAAAGATATTTCGATGAAAAATGAATTTTTAAAACAATTATTTGTTATTATTGAAATATTTTATTATTTTTACATTGTTATTAATTCTAAAATTAAGGAAAAACTTTGTAGAATTTAACGAATGTTGTTAAGTAGATATATATTTACAGATTATAATTTCCAAAGCTTCTTACAAACTAACGAACAACAGTATATATAAAAAAATATAATTTGTGTCAATAATAACACTGTAAATCAAATCTACGGAAGACCAAAAGTATCATGCGTGCAATAAAAAAAAAAAAAAAAAAAAAAGTCACGTGGATTGAGTTTCTGTCAAGTATTTAACTTAAATACTGAATTTTTAATACAATTACTGGTTATTTCTTTAATTATAAAGGTTTTTACATTTAAGTTGTTAAAATATTATAAAATTAGTTAAAGGCCGCATTCAGTTTCGTAAATGTCCTTTTTGTCGTGGAGAAGTTAATTTGATTTTTCAATTTCAACTGAGAAGGTACCTAAAAGTATCAGTATTAACTTATGAAATTTATATGACCTGATTTTTATATTAATACAGTTATGGCATTTTTTTTCATAAATGAAATATCAAAATTAATAATAAAATGAGTGGAAATACAAATAACACAGTAAAATGTAGTAAATGTACATAAAATTATAGTATTTTATGTACACTTCTGATAAAATTTAATAAGATAGGTCTCTATAAATTAGATACATTTCTTATGAAATTTAATCTCACTCTCAACAGTCTTATTTTAATGTCTTTATAAGATATTTTCCATAAAACATAGTAAACGTAAAGGTGAAAGCGAAGTTAAAAAAAATTAAAAAGTTAGAGCGCTGAAAGTTTTCCTTAAAAATAACGAGGTAAATAATTTGTTCACTTAAATCTAAATAACTTCACTTCTCTCCTTCCGTAGAAGGAATTATCCTCACGTAATCTATCAAAACGTCATGAATGTCTTTCGTCACCTGCTGTGTTTTATTTCTAAACTACGTCTTTTCGGCGCAGAAACTAAGTTAAGCTTCGTTCAAAATATTGTAAATAAACATAATTTCTGATTTTCTTAAAATAAGTTTTAAAAAAATTATAATTGATTTTTAAAAGAATTTCAAACAGATATTTTCATTTTTTTTTTATAAATTGGAAAAAAATGGCTGATATGATCGATTATCTGTCACTTTTTTAACGAAAATTTTGAACGTTCTAGGAACGATTAAAAAATGTAAAAAATACCACAAAAACACTTTGATCTTTCCTCTTAATAATAACATAAACATTTAGATGATAAAGTTTTGTTTTCGTCAAGTTTGGCATCTTTTCCCTCATGCTATATACTCTTTTTAGCGATCTCATGAAGGGTAGGTACTTAGATTTACTCAAGTTTTTTTCTATTCTATGTATGTGTATTTAATAAACCTCTTCTTTGTTTTTCCTACCTAGTATTCTGTTGTTTCGAGGCTATAACTACGACCTTCTTAATTCTTGGCTATTTCGAAAAAAGACAGCATTACACAAAAATAGCAGGGTAGTCTGGACTTTCTTGCTTTGAGGTGGCAATCAGTCTAGAAGGTAAACCCAACCTGAAAAAGATTATGCCCAGTCAGGCTGTCTTGCCTTAAACACATCAGTACTGCTATGTATACTGTAAATGTGGAGCCTCTACGGACCTAATCAGTTCCGGGATTGGGGTGTCGGATGAAAAGCAACTAAAATTAAGATGAAAGAAATTGGATATTTTTTTATCTATAATATATTAATAATAATAATTATTATAAATAAAAAATAAATTTCAAAATAATATTACTAACAGCAAGTGTAAAGCAGATGAAATTAAGTTGAAAGTTAAACCTGTTGTAACCCGGATATAAGAGTTGTCGGGAGCGGAGAAGAAGTCTCTTATATCCGGGTTTGGTCTGTTTTATATACATTAATACAAGATCTAATTTGGGACCAGAGAATTTCTCTTATATCCGGGTTTCTCTTATATCCGGGTTACACTGTATTACTATTATGAATAAAGGAAGTGAAATTAAAAATGAAAAATAAAAGTTAAAATGATTTATGATTATTAACAATAGTTTCAGAAAAAGAAAAAAAAACGAAGATAACATTACTACTTAATATCTACCATGACATATATGTCTCTGCATTTATTAACCTCGTCTGGCCCAGAGTTCAGATTAATAATCACATTTGAGGGTCAAACTTGGAGCAGTTTGAACTTCCATTCACCCCTTGAGCTCGTCTATCGTATTTATTTGTCCTGTCACACAGATGAAAAAACCACAGAGGTCTCTCTTTGTTTTTTGTTTTTTTTTTTTAATGTGAAAACGCCTCACACATTTGCATGATGCGAAAAAAAAAAAAAAAAAAGAAAAGAAAAAAGCGTTCCCACTCCATCGGCCATTCACGGTAACACGGCATACCTGCTGACGCTGACACAGTGCCTTGGAATTTGAGGAGGTGCTGCATTCGTAGTAAATGACCGGGGTCTCCTTGTTGAATTACTTGTTGACTACTTGTCATGGTTTCGTAGTTAAGTAGCTAGTTCGTCAACTCAAATATATTCCTTTGTCCTAATGCAGATTTTTTTGTACAGTTCGGTACGAACAAGTATTCAGTCGGTCCCAAATAATTTAAGAGGAATTACAAAACTTTTTTTTTTTT